GAGGGCAAGGTATGAACACAGAAACCTTTACTTTTTGGCAATTCCAAACAGTGTCTCAGTCAGCAGCGATTTTGTTGTTTATTTTACTATACAAAACAAGACCTAACTTTGAAACTTATATCAAAATCGCTTTAATTATCGTTTAAACAATCACGTAATTCTCTTGCGACCTTTTGAAAGTCTACGACCAATTATCCTTTATGTATCACATCATGTTTTTTTTACTTTTAATTGGATCGTACTATAGATAGAGAGAAAGGGGTAGCTCGGCTGCTGTGACTTCCTTTTCTGCAAGAGAATAGTATCTACTCCGCAAACTGTTGTGGAATAAGAAAACGCAAGAAAAATGTAATAAAATCTGTAGACCAATTTTCGTTTCCGGAAATTGTAGAACTTCCTCCAAATTGTCTTCCTAATGTCGCTTAACAGTGTCATTTGCATCTTATAAACCTTTATGTTAATTTTAGTCGAGATTTTACTGCGGATACTGTACCATTATTGGTCTTTATTGAATTGGCCAAGTACATTGGAGGTACGATAAAATATTTTGAAGGGTCGGATCAGTACTAAACATATATTTCGAAAGCAACTAGATATTTTCTGGTCGTTAAATTGATTTGCAAATGGCCCTTTACACGTATCCAATGCTTAGGGAATATGAATAACCGCATAAATATCGATAAACGGCTCTTCATAAAAAATCTTATGACTCTCTAAAATTAGGTCGCATTATGGGTTTTTGGTATTCAAAGCAGGTTACGCATAACTTTATACTCAACATAATAACTGTGCTCCCTCTATCCGTTAAAAAGTCTCGCACACGTCCTGTCATTTTTATATTCTCGGCCAAAGGAGACGTAGGGAACGCTGCACGAGACGGATTTGAATACTTGCACCAACTCGACTAACAAATTTGAAAAGTTCGCAAGCTCCCGGGAATCGCAAGCCACCTCCATGTGAATATCCACCTTCGCCCATTTTAGTTTATAGCTGAAGTAAGCTCTATATTTTTGATCCTTGCTGTATTTTATTTGTATAAGCGTATCCCGCAGGTGCGATAAGTTTCGGTTGTATTTCCTTTACCTTCTATGTTTTTTAGTTTGATTATACCACGATTCCCGGCTACCGGTAGCCTTTTTACACATGATCGAGTAGAAAACTTTGTAAATTTACGTATCTAAGCTTCATAAACGTCTCTCCCGTGTGTAAAGTATCCGAATGTAAATGGATATTCGTTTTACATCCATCCAAATGCTCACTTCTGGCAAAAAGTTAACGGCACTTCCATTAATTAATGCACGTTAAGCGATTTACCTCACGGTTCGGTGGTAATCTTCGAAAACTAAGTTTACTCAAACTATCAAACTAGTCAAATAAACACTTGTTTTATTGTAATATTAACTGCGCTGCTACAACAAAAAAAGCTCGCAGACGGTAGACTGTGTAATGGAGCGTTTGGGAAGAAAAAGTTTGGCGTGCTAAACTCTATTGCATTTGTTTAAACTGTTTTGTTTCTATTTTGACCCAAAGTAAAGGAGAGATCCACTTCATTGAAGTGAGAGCTGGATCAATTTCTTACAAAAAGTAATCGATTAATTTTTCAGTTATAAAAATAGCTCTTGTTTTGGGACCTTCCCATTAAAAAGGGACATCGATTCTCGAACTCTTTCAGAGCATCCTTCGTGTGTACTTTTATTTTCTACCCTTAGCCGGGTTAGCTACTTCCTTAAACAGTTTAAATTGTGTAAACATTTGAAAGTTGATTGCATTCTAATAATTTAAAGATTTTAGCGATCATTTCTATTGAGGCAAAGGAACGAAATGAGCGTCTGGTTAGAGAAACTTTCAAATACACCTTATATTAATCTTTTTATATTGCGCTTGTGTGTAAAATTCTAAATTTGGGGAACACTGGTTTAAATCCTTTGATTTTTTAAACAAAAATTGCTCAATTTAAATAACAGTAGTTCATTGATTTAAGTTTGTCACGAGGTTTATCAGCTTTGAAAGGGTACTTTAGAAGAATTTGATAACAACTGTAAATGAACTTTAAGAAGAATTCCATAGGAACTTCCGGAAAGATTACGTGGAACTTGGGAAATACTTAAAAGCCAATTTTAAAGGAACTAAGTAATAGTATATAATAATATCACAAGCAGAACCAGTCTAGCTACGTTGGTTTTTGAGATAAAGAGTGAAAACGAAAAGTTTCTAAGGTTTGACCCAAAGTTGGTATTTAGTAAATGCAACACCCTGTATATCTTAACCTCAATTTCTTTTCATCCCTTTTTCTGATTATATTGGTGTATAAAAATCTATTTTTTTTTGCGATGAAACAATAAAAAACCTTATTTTTGACTTCTTTAAATAGTAGGCCATGGAGTCATGGAGATTTTTTATTGTATCCATTGTAACTAAAGCAGTCGATGCCACTCAACAAAAATGGCTGACGGTACACATCATTTCAAAATTCTAAAAAATGGTAAAAAAATATAGGATGATACATCAATGTAATCACGAAAAAGAATGCAAAAAAATGACATTAAAATACAAGGTGTTGCGTTTAAAAAAATAACAAGAGAGGGATAATAAATAAATAAATAAATAAACAGTACGCCGAATTATTCAGTTTGTCGTTGTGCTTGAAAATTACTTATTGCAAAAAAAATATGGTTGAATAGGGAATAAAAATCCCTTTAATTAGCTGTGGCCCCCACGTCATTTAAAATTCTTAAGGGGGTCGCTGTGATACTCACAGGGATGGAGTTTTGGTGTATAATTTATATATTCCTTCCCCCTCAATAACAAATTTGAGCTGTTTTGGAAATTATCCGAACCATGCCTGGTTTTCCAGATAAGGACTGTCGAATTTTGGTTGGGGCTGACACATCCTTTTAATATATTGTTATGTGCAATGGTAAACAGTCACACCAGTCCAACTAGCTCGATTGAACTCAAGTACCAACAAAACCTTCCATATGAAAATGTTGACTCTAAAATTTCCCAAAGCAGGTCCGGCAGGTGATACTATGAAAAGCTCGATAAGAATTTAATTTTATCAATATGAAAAACTCAGCAGCTTTCATTACTCCCACAATTGCAAAGAATTATTTAACAAATTGTTAATAATCTCCATATTCATAATCCTGAATACGAATAGAAAATTTATTTGATCCACAACAAAATTTACAACCCCCGCAATCGTCTACTGCTACATAAGTAAGAACGAATTTTCTTAAAAAATACGAATTTTTGAAACGGGATGGGATTTTACTTATACTTGGCAAAATAAGGGTTGCTTGTAGACTCTTTTAATATAATTGATCAAGGAAATAAAAATATTTGACCCACAACAAAATTTATAACCCCCGCCATCGAATAATGCTACATAAGTAAGAACGAATTTTCTTAAAAAATACGAATTTTTGAAGCGGGTTGGGATTTTACTTATACTTGCCATTATTAGGTAATATTATAAAAAGTGACGATCTAATCTTAAGGATTGCTTGTAGATTCTTTCAATATAATCGATCAAGGAAATAAAAATATTTGACTTACAACAAAATTTACAACCCCCGCAATCGAATAATGATACGTAGATGAGAGCGAATTTTCTTAAAAAATACGAATTTTACAAAAAGAGTGGTATTTTACTTATACTTGGCAATTTAAGGGTTGCTTGTAGGTTTTTTTAATATAATCGCCCAAGGAAATAAAAATATTTGACCCACAACAAAATTTACAACCCCCGCAATCGAATAATGCTGCGTAGATAAGAGCGAATTCTCTTAAAAAATACGAATTTTACAAACAGAATGGTATTTTACTTATACTTCGCAATTTAAGGGTTGCTAGTAGGTTTTTTTGATATAATCGCTCAAGGAAATAAAAATATTTGACCCACAACAAAATTTACAACTCCCGCAATCGAATAATTATATGTAGATAAGAGCGAACTTTCTTAAAAAATACGAATTTTTCAAACAGAATGTTATTTTACTTATACTTGGCAATTTAAGGGTTGCTTGTAGGTTTTTTTTAATATAATCTCTCAAGGAAATAAAAATATTTGACCCACAACAAAATTTACAACCCCCGCAATCGAATAATGATACGTAGATGAGAGCGAATTCTCTTAAAAAATACGAATTTTTCAAACAGATTGTTATTTTACTTATACATGGCAATTTAAGGGTTGCTTGTAGGTTTTTTTAATATAATCTCTCAAGGAAATAAAAATATTTGACCCACAACAAAATTTACAACCCCCGCAATCGAATAATGATACGTAGATGAGAGCGAATTCTCTTAAAAAATACGAATTTTTCAAACAGATTGTTATTTTACTTATACATGGCAATTTAAGGGTTGCTTGTAGGTTTTTTTAATATAATCTCTCAAGGAAATAAAAATATTTGACCCACAACAAAATTTACAACCCCCGCAATCGAATAATGATACGTAGATGAGAGCGAATTCTCTTAAAAAATACGAATTTTTCAAACAGATTGTTATTTTACTTATACATGGCAATTTAAGGGTTGCTTGTAGGTTTTTTTAATATAATCTCTCAAGGAAATAAAAATATTTGACCCACAACAAAATTTACAACCCCCGCAATCGAATAATGATACGTAGATGAGAGCGAATTCTCTTAAAAAATACGAATTTTTCAAACAGATTGTTATTTTACTTATACATGGCAATTTAAGGGTTGCTTGTAGGTTCTTTTAATATAATCGATCAAGAAAATAAAAATATTTGACCCACAACAAAATTAACGATCTAATCTTATATTGCTAGTTATTGGAACTGATATTCATCCACCTGTAGAATAGTAAAAAAGTGCCTTCCCTGCAAAATACAGGGTGTTCCGAAGTTCAGTGCCAAATATGACTTTGTTCCTATAAGCTCGTATGCTAAAATACATCACCTCCGACGTACATCCACCACAAGATTCGTAAAAGTCACATCTACTGTGATCGCAGGCAATACCTGTCAAAAGTTTGACATGTGTAAAAATTTTAGCTCGTACTAAGCAAATTATGGAATTATTTGTATGGGATGGCGATTTCGGACTTGTATCCTTACACTGCGACTGCATACGTGTAATTGCCTACGCTATACTGACAAACGCCCCCGTTAAAGTTGTGTTCTGTCGGAATCCCTGCTACGACTACCCAATTCTGCGTACAAATTCCGAAAAGTTGGTCAATTACGGCGAAATCGTAAGATATCTGCAAAACGAATTGTATATTCTCGATGCAGAACTGGACGAAAAACAGGAAAGTGAGTCATATGTTTTTCTAAATATGCTCACTTTACATTTAAAACCTGTACTGGAGTACTTGCACTGGTTAAATGATACCAATTACGAGACGTTCATGAGAATGTGGTACGCCAAAGTCATACCGATACCGTTGCTGAACTGCGTGTACCCAGCAAGACGAAGAAGGTCAGCACAGGAGTTTTTCGAAAGTTTGTACCCGCACCTGGACCGTGGAGCAATCGAGGTTGACTTACTGAAGAAAGCCCAAGATTGTTTCTTCTCCCTAAGTACGCGACTGGAAAAGAAGCCTTACTTTCACGGAAGCTCTCCCACTACCATAGATACAGCAATCTTTGCCTACCTGGCGCTGATTGCTGAAGTACCGTTACCGAGTAACCCATTTGCGAATATGATCAAAGTAACTCCCACTTTATGCCAATTTATAAGGCGTTTCAAGAGCGATGTTTTCCCAGGCGTAGAATATGACAGTAAATACCTCAACAGAGTTTCGTGTTCAATTAAGGAGAACGAGGATGAAGATCTATCCACGTCTTTAACGGCGAAAATCGTAATAGTGGGTGTAACTCTTTGTGGTATGTTTGTCTATGCAGTTTGCAAAAATCTCGTTGATTTGGGTAGGCTAAATTCGTTTGTTTTAATTGGCGAAAAATAAACAATTTTCATGTGTATGATTTCCCTCTTAGCACTAGGTGGGTATTCTGCAGTAAAAGTGTAAACAAATATAGCAAACGAGCTCCTGGGTATGGCTATGGCTTGACATTGCGCATTATATCTTGAGTTTCATGCAATTCGGTTCATAACTAACGGAGATGTCAAAAGGGCCTTCCTTATTTTTTGGCCTACATTGCTAGTCCAATAACTCCAATCTAGAAATTTGATAAAGGATCCACTTTCAAAATTCGAGATTTCATGCTCACGGACAGACGGACGGACGGACAGACACCGCATAATTATGAGCTCGTTTCTCTTTCGTTAAACTCCATATTCATACCTACTACTGTAATCCTAAATGGCGTTATCAGCAAAATATATAAAACTCAACTTTCAAATTTTAATGGTTTTTTTTCTTTCTTAGCATAATTTTCAATTTTCACGGTCGCCATTATGAAAAGAATGGTCCAACTGTATAAGCTTATTTCTCACATACCACTCTAACTTCGCTAGCATATTTTTGCATCGATTTTAATTTGCCAAATAAAATTTAAACAGATTCAAATTAAGCATACGAAAGGCGAACCATAGGTATATTTATACACTGCATATTAATTACCAATATTAGTTCGTGCGTGAGTAATTTTTTGAACAGTTCACTAGGTTGCTTACAATTGGCATCATAAGCAAACATATATTGATTGGATTATTGTTCTATATGCATACATACAACTTAATGCTATGTAATCAACTTCCAACTCAATGGAAACTGCTGAATATGATTTCTAGATATCAACGAATAAATTAATGTGTTTGTGCACAAACAAAAGCTTTTGTTGAAGTTTGTGCATTGCAGTAGGTTTCGACACACAAGAAGTAATAATTGCTTTTCACTCCCAATGGTAAATTAGCGTACTACACGGTAATAACTTACATTCATGCAAAAATATGCGGCTTCTGATACGCAACTTTGGTTTTATTCGAAAGTGCTTTCAGATTATTTAAGCTGGTAAGAAAGTCAGATTTCGCTTATCCACTTTACAACTAAATTATTCCTAAAATGCAATTAAATTTGGAATTGGAACCGATATTTGTTATTGGTATAATTTACATTATAATTAACTTGAGTTGGAACGAAACACACATCGGTTCGTTTTATAGCATGCGTGTAACTTACACACGATGGCATTTTCAATCGGCTCCACCTATCCTCAAGTAATTGAATTCTGAACTTTATTTGACAAGTTGTGATAGCTGGAAACGTTACGTTTTTATGTCCTACTGTACTTTAATTGAATACTGTCACGCCTAAGGGTCGTATTTCATTGTCAAATATTATAATCTCAAATTGAGTTTTAAATTTATGAGCCCAAAATGTATGTTTTAGATAGATCAGCAGTCCATAAATAGGCAAGGCTTGAAATAAAGGTATTTGTACATTTACCGGACCAAAACGAGTATTTAACCTCTATTTGTTGTAATCCCTTGGGATTAAAATATAATACTGGAATTGAGCCATCTTACAGAAAGTTATTGTCCAAACGGTTGAACTGTACATACACCTGTTGTTCACATAATGCACAAAAAAAGGGTGCATATGTTTCTTAATATTAAATAAAATTTAAAAAAAAAACCTATTTACCCTAAGGTGTATGGCTCAAATTATAAATCATTTTACAACACACAAACTTAATCAATCATCTTTAAGTATGTACACTCAATTTAAGAAGACAAAAATCTAGTAATTAATTAATAAATAACATTTCTACTCGGTTCCTAACCGTTCTCAAACACATTCCTCACTCCACTGCTTCTTGTTCTTTGCCATTTCCTTTACGTTTTTCTCCTTGCTTGTAATATTTTCTTCGCCGCTCCATCCCAGGTTTCTTTCCTCTTCCTCGCCTTCCCAGTGCGTTTGCTTCCCATACCCGTCTCACGATTCTCTGCTCCTCTTTGCAGGTGTCCCCACCAACTCAGTTGTCGTTTTTCACTGAATTTGGTCACGGACTCCATTCCAAGATCTTCGTATGTGGTCACGTAACAACACTCCTGCAATTCTCTTTTGGTATCTGTTCCTCTTTCCATATTTTATTATACAATTCTAGTATTTTCTTCATTGCTTCACTTCCTATCTTTTTAATCATTTGTGCGGTAATCTTACCTGGGGCTTTCCCGTTTTTCATTTTCTGTAGAGCAACTTTAATTTTCTCTTCTGATTTATTTGCTAGTTGTTGGTTACCATGTCGATTCCTTGGTTCTCGTGTTCTGTCTCTTTCTTATTATGGTTGTTTTTATTGCCTTCATCCATTCCCTCCTTATCATTTTGCTCATAATTTGAACTTCCTCCTAACAGATCCTAGGAATATTCTCTCCATCTATCCATAATGTAGTCAGGGTGGGTCAGAATTTGACCTACCTTATTTTTGATTTTTTTTACTATTACTTTGAATCCTTTTCCCAAATTCTTGCAGTGCTGCTTCCTTAGCTTCTTTGACCATATTTCTTTCCTTTTCTCCTTTGTTCCTTATATTGGTTGTATTTATTTTCGGTCTTGTTTTCTACATATTGTTTCCATCTTTCTTAATTTCAATTTGTTTCTTAATATTGTCATTCCACTACGCTGTTCTTTTAGTATGTGTGTTTATCTTCTTTATGCTTCTTTTGCTGCTGTTACTAAAGTATCCTTGAATCTTCACCACATTTCTTCTACCGTCTTATATTTCCAACCTGCTGCGTCATTTACTTTTGGTTAATGATTTATTCGTAAACTGCGGCTACCTTGCGGATTTTGTAGTTTATAGCTTTTTATTGTTTCTTTGTTGTTTTCTCGTCTCTTCGATCTTCTTTTCTTCTAGTTTAGGCGTGCCTCTTATTTTCGCTACCAGTAGGTAATGGTCGCTATATATTTCCGCCTCTTTTCTTACTTTTACATCTTTAATTAACTTGTAGTTATTCCTTTCTGTTACCACATGGTCTATACTAGATTTTTTATTTTTTGAATGCGACTTCACTGGTGTACTTATGAATTTCTTTATGTTCATAAAATGTATTGGATCTCCATTGTTGTTTCTTTCGTCTTCTCCATATTTTCGTAATATTGTCTCTGTTTTCGTCCCTTTCCACTCCTACTCTAGCATTGAAATCCCCGGCGATAAATAGCTTTCCCTGGCTCTACTTTGTAATAGCTTCGAGAACGTTAAGAAAGGGACCTTTTGAAGTGGCGTGAAGAATCTTAAAACGGGAATTGAGATGGAAAAAATGACTTGAGGAGAGGATGTATTACACTTTTCTAATTCTGTATCAGGAAAATATAATGCACGAGGAGGTCTTTCTGTTCCTTTTGTTTTCTATCACTATCTTTTCTACCACTATGAGAAGTATTTCAAAGCTTTATTTCGATTTAAATTTTTGCCATTTGTGTATCAGGAAAATATAATGCACGAGGAGGTCTTTTGGTTCCTAATACACCTTATATTAGTTGACAAGCTCATGTAAAATTTTTCTTGCTACTAGGAGAACATAATGGACGAAGAGGTCTTTTTATATCACTATGAGAAGTATTTCAAAGCTTTGTTTCGATTTAAATTTTTGCCATTTCTGTATCAGGAAAATGTAATGCACGAAGAGGCCTTTTGGTTCCTAATACACCTGTTATTAGTTGACAAACTCATGTAAAATTTTTCTTGCTACTAGGAGAACATAATGGACGAAGAGGTCTTTGAGATCTATGAGAAATATTTGAAAGCTTTACTTGGATTTAAATTTTTGCCAATTCTGTATCAGGAAAGTATAATGCACGACGAGGTTTTTCTGTTCCTAATACACTTGTTGTTTGTATACAAACTTATGTAAAATTTTTCTTGCTAGTGGGGGAACATAATGCGCGAAGAGGTCTTTATTCTCTATCACTATGAGAAGTATTTCAAAGCTTTATTTCGATTTAAATCTTTGCCAATTTTGTATCAGGAAAATATAATGCACGAGGAGGTATTTCTGTTCCTGATACACCTGTTATTTGTTGACAAAGTTATATAAGAAGTTTTTTGCTACTAGGAGAATATAATGCAGGAAGAGGTCTTTATTTTCTATCACTATGGAAGTATTTCAACGCTTTACTTCGATTTCAAACTTTGCCAATTCTGTATCAGGAAAATATAATGCACAAGGAGATCTTTCTGTTTCTAATACATCTGTTATTTTGTTGACAAAGTCATGTAAGATTTTTCTTGCTTTTAGGAGAACATACTGCGCGAAGAATTCTTTGTCTATCACTATGAGAATTATTTCAAAGCTTTATTTCGATTTAATTTTTTGCCAATTCTGTATCCGGAAAATATAATGCACGAGGAGGGCTCTCTGTTCCTAATACACATGTTATTTGTATACAAAATACAAAAAATACAAAAAAAATAGATTTTTCATCCCCTTGAAAAAGAGGTGATTTTTACAGAAATCGTGAGATCTTGGAAACGATTCAACTTTATGGGCCCAAACAATTATCTTCTGTTTTATCATAAAACCTCCAAATTTCAAACCCCTAAGACATTTTTTTGCAAAAATAAGAATAAAAAACGAAAAAAACAGTTTTTCCGGTTTTTCTAGGAAAATTGGAGGTTATGTGAAAATAGTGCAGATACAAAAGTTGCTCATTTTTTTTAATCTCTATAACTTTTACATTTAACATTTTCGTCTAAAATCAATAGTTTTACCACAATTTGCAAAATACCACTTTCCACCCCTTCCAACCCCCGTGATTTCACTCGCGGA